AATTAAGTGCTTACAGTTCACATAGCAACAAAAACAATCTCTTCCCACTTGAGACTGGAAACTTGCTTCGATTCATCCGTAGCTTTTTGTCTCAGAGAATGTGAGTCGTCAGACTTTGGTCTGGTCTGTAACATAGGGCCTGCAGCACGGGGGGCCAGTATCTCGCTCTTTTGTTTTTATACCCGTGCAAGAATGCAAAACAATTATAATTCCCTCAGGGATAAGTTGCAGCTCTCCTTGGGAACCGAGCCTGCGTAATCGCGAACCATTCTTGTATCTCATTGAATCTTATTCGTGTTGTGGTTACAAAAAAATATTATTTTAATTGGATTATGTCTCATAACCCACACTGCGGCGTTCTAATACTGTACACTGCATAATGCGCGATAGTAATAACTTTCTATTAGATAAACAGGGAGTGGTCTGAGAGGAGAGGGTCGTGAGAGAGGCGAGTCGGGCGGGCGGTCACTCAGAGGTACCGACTCCGGCCAATCCATTTACGTTAATTACACCGAGATGGGGATAAATCGGCGTCCAGCCGTCCACCGCCGAGTTACGAGCGAGCCGACTATAAAATAAATTATACCCACTTCGTTCGCCTCCACTCAGTTTTTTGTTGCCGTCCAAGGCGAATGGAGGAAAAAAAACAAAAGCAAAATCTCGAGAGGACGAAATACGAGGCAAAGACAAAGCTTAAATTTATCTACTGATAATATAGACGTAGGGCGGCGGGCGCGGCAGACGCGCAGTTGCCGGGTGGCCGCCCGAATTATACAGGCGGGCATTCCTGAGTCCACGCAAAAACATGATATATTGCCGTCTTGTGACGAAATATTTGAGATTTGGAGACCTGCTATGGAAATTGTTATGTGTATTGCTTTCGAATTCTTTGTCTTTTATTTGTCGTCGACAACTTTATATTGTTCTGTGTGATAATTCGTACTAAATTAATGTTTGACCCCTATTAGCATACCGACGTGATTTATGTTTAATAAAATCTGCTATATAATATGTGTTCATTAGGAGAGTTATATGTCATTATTACAGTCCTATATTTATCATTTTATTATAATTCGTTATAATCATTAATATTGTGTCAACAAAAATTATATGCACTATAGTTATACCAGTTATACCATCTAGTCTTAACGACAGTTAAAACACACAAAGATCCATAGATATAATACAAAACATTTGCTAGTAAATTTCTGTAAAGTTGGTGATCAGAAGATGAAATATTCGCAATAGTGTTGTGAATGTTTCACCTCCTGCCATCACATAATCAACATAATCTATTAGAAAAATGGCAGTTAATATTAGAAAATTTGTAAGTAACTTTTGTATTCGAATTATTTTCTTATATTGTAATATTGGAAGTTGTCAATATTATCATTATGACAAAGTACTAAAGTGGTATTTGATATAATTATGTGTACATTCGTATAAAGTCTAGTGTTCGACGTCTCCAGACGACAACTTCAAAGAGTAATCACAAACATGGAATATAAAATTGGGAGTGACCATCATGTGAGACCAGATATCCCTCCTGTGTTGCCATTCCGGAGGACTTTCTGCTTTCATTGTAATTTCATCATTCTCACATTTCAACCAGATCATAACTTACATAGCAAATTGGTTGGCGGTCAATTTAGTTGAGACTGAAATACGCAATATACTTCATACAAAGTTGAGTACATATATACTGTTACATACCACAGACATCATAATATTACATACATATACTATATAATATTTATCGTATATAATATATATCGTATATTATTATATTAATCAATTTCTAAGTCAATAAATTAATGTTTAAATACCATTGGTACAGAACAGTCACGTTCGTAATTTACATACCAAAATTCCTACTACAAATATTTTTTGATAACAAAATAAATTTTGTTCCACATTATTATATAGTAGAAAGTACCTACATAATTGGCGATGATATCATCCAGTGGAATTATGTTTTTATAAAAATATCTTTTTCAAACACCCACAGTAGGTATGGAAATGTTCGACAGTAGAAAACTATTAGATACAATCCGTTTGGAACTCGACTCCCACACGGAGATCAAAAATACTTGGAATGGAGTTCAGTTTAATTCTTCAGTGTTTTTGATGGCACTGTAAATGTAAACGGTGAATTCCAATGTACGAGTACTTGCTCATATATTCAGAGTTGTTTTTACTAACACTCCGTGAAATATTATGTAAACATATTTTCTTACCAGTGCGGTGAGAAATAAGCACAAGGCCTGCCTCATATGGTATATGTAGATACGTGTCGGCAAAATCAATTTATTGGGTTGTATTCTCAAATGTAGGTAAATGAAAGTCATTGACATTCATTATTATTGTTAAGACATTCATTATTATACATATTTTTATAGTTGTTAAGAATAATTATTTGTATTAAATTTTATCTCTTTTCAGAGCAAAACAATTGGGTATATTATTTCACATAAGAATATGTTTGTAATATAGAGAACACAATGTTACCTATATTGTACGATATTTTTGGGTTTTCAGAAGTTTTTAAATTTAAGTTCTTTTAGTAATACATATGTAATATACGTAGCAAATCAATATTACTAAAAAGCATATTAAACTGTAACATTAATCTCATGCAAGAATCGAACTTGCGACGCGGTATTCTAGACCGCTACCCCACCGAGGCCGTTATACATGTATAAATGTAATAATAATAAAATATCATATTATAAAGAGGTTACAAACAATTTTATCGTTTTATAATGAATAAACGAAAAAATACTAACCCTATTTTTTAAATTCGCTCGATAAGAGAGAGTGATTTCATGTTAATAAAAAAATAAAGATTCCAACTACAATTTCATCGGTGCTAAGCTAGTAGTAGTAGCCTAGTAGTAAATAAGTGGTTTGTTTAATTGAATAAAATACAACACAAACATCCATACAACTTTACTAACCTAACATAATAATATTAGTGGAACCTCGTTAGATAAGTCTACAGAAGCTACAAATAGATATAAATGAAAGAGCAAAATGAAAAACTTTTCAGCTTGATCGTGCTTTTGTACAATTTTCTGTCATAGTTTCACTCTTCTTTCGTCTTTTCAATAAGCACATTGTTCCTAATAATAATTATGAATTTCATAAAGGATTTCTAAAAACTAATTTTGCTAACACTAACCAATGAAATCTTATTAATAGACCTAGTGATTTGTATCAATTTTGGAGATAAAATTTATCATTCTCATTAAACAATCTGTCATTACGTCAAATTTAAAAAAAATACAATAAATAGAGAACCGTTCCAATCTTTAATCATTAAAGGATTAACAGACTGATACAGTTATATAGTATAATTACATTTTAACTTATGTCTTATAATTTATTTATATATATATATTTATGTATGTCTATTGATACTTATAGTTAATATCATTAGAACAATATTTTAATATCTCCTCTTTTCGTACACGTATGTATGACTATTCTATTTAATACACGATCCTATAGAAATCTCTTTTTAGAGATAAGCTCGCCCTTGTACTTTACATTTATTCTGTATAATTTCTTTTATTATGTGTGTGTGTATACAATAAAGAAAGAAAAATATACAGTTTCATATTTATTATATTAGTTTGGATTAGGACTAGTATAATATAAGAGTTTTTTTTACTGAAGTCAGTTATTTTACTTTTCCAACTGTATATAAAATACGATCGACATTACCTAATAATATTCGCTACATTAAACTTGATACAAATACAAACATCATATCTAGGTATAAAAAATAAAATGGTACCAAACAGATATTAATTTAATCCTGTTTTTATTTTTATAACCATTTATTTTTCTAATCTCGGTGTAACTACTGTATACTAAAAAAAACTATATCACGCATAGTTAGCAACTGGATATCTGTCACTATATATGAGTATTACACTTATTTACATAATATAGTATAAGAAATTAAGGTGACTTAATTCATTCATCAAGTTCATTTACCGTCGACCTTGTACCGTCGGTAATGTGACATGCCGAGTGACCCAGTTAGCAGCACAAAGGGTATGTTATTTTGACTACAGGGTCAAACACGACCTCTTAGTACATCCGGTAACCATTTGATGGTCATAATAAAATAATCTTAACACCTAATAACAAGTTGGTTAATTCTGATGCGATAACTGCGATAGATTCTTCGACTGAGTTACTGGTTTTTTAAATATTACAATCGTAATAAAATTAATACAGTAGATTGATATTTACTCTTTAATTATTCAATCCGACTGTAAAAGGGGTAAGTTCTCAATTTTATGGTATGGCATGTGAATATAAATTGCGTATTTGTTTTCAATCTTATCAATTCTATTTAACTGATTTCGATTATTATTTTTGCAGTTCACAGTCTTATATTGTAATGGTATCATATATTTTTTTCTGGATTGGAAATTATTTTTATGTAATAGTTTATACCTTAAATATTGTTTGTGCATCCATCATTAGCTTTGTTCTATTATTTATTTCTGTTATTGTAAATTAAATTTGTTATTGCTAAATTGAAAGCACTATCTAAAAAAAATAGTAATGTATTTTTAAAATTCTATCATGTCACAAGTTTGTAACAGATATGTATACTTTATCAAGCAACTTTGTCAAAATATAATTGTAAATTTATAGATTTTATTTTTTATATATATATTTATAGATAATATTTTTAATTACATTCTACAAAATTAGAAAAGAGTCAACAAAATGCACTTATAATCAGTGAAGATATGGCATAACATACTGACTATATGAACATAGCATAATATGAAATATATATTAAGTAAAGCAATATATCGACTTCATGCATATCCGCTGCTTCTCCATAACATAAAGTATGGTTCTTAATCACCAGCAGCCATAGAATCTCTGTCCTATGTTATTGTATAGTGAATATGAATTCCTAATATTACAAAGCAAGATTATTGAGTTTAAAAGATTAAAAAAAAAGCATAGCGTTTCAAATTAAATGTTTTATTATATTTTTGTTTCAATAAAATAGTAATTACACGAATATATACACAAAGAGATATGTACAATTTTCGAGGCCACTACTATATGTACACTGGGTCCACGATATTATCACTAGGTCCGCACCGGGCGTGGGGGGCGCCTTCGTCATCGACAACCGCAGCCCACCACCATCATGTCCTGATAATTTTTGAGCACCACTTTGTTCGCTTCTTCATCCAAGTATAGCATGGAAATAGGGGCGAGTTGGGTCGGTACGCAACACGCTTTAGGTACCGCCGCCGGGTTCACCGAATTCACGAGAGTTTGTACTATAGCGTGGTTCGTCCCGTTTAAATGATCAGCGAGCGGGAATGGGCAGTCACCCTGGCAGTAGTACGCATCGTACCCTGGAGGTGCCACGATCCAATCCTTCCACCCCACCTCTTGGAAATCTACGTACAACGGTCGCCGCTGACATATCTCCCGTGCTTCCTTACGGCGATGGTGAGCGCGGTGTCCTTTTCTCTTCGCGGCCCGCTTGTTTCTCATGAGCCGAGTCTCACCAAGCTCTCGAGCGGCTCTCGCTCGACCATCTTCTGTATATAGGAGCAATAGCGGCTGACTAGCGCGCCATTGCTCTTCGTTTTCAGATGCACGTCTCCGCACTCTCACATGTGGCACTCGCGCATCTGTACCGTTTGTGTCTTCTTCCATAACACGCACTAATAGTCCATGATTATGTTCAGGCTCTTTTAGCCACCGTCGCACAGCACCAATCGCGTCCGCGGTGAGGGTGCCCTCGGCGGGCCTGAGTGGTTTAGAGTCTAATAACCTTAATATAGGAGCACTTTGGCCGCGACGTCCGGGCCTTACTATATCGTATAACAAAAGTCGTTGATCGCTGGTCGCGTCGGATGCGCGTTGGAAGGTAACGTCGGCACCGCGTGCGATCTCATCACTGGGGACCGCGCTCACATTGAAGAAAAGTCGAAACCGATGCTCATTGGGAAATCGCACGTCGATTTCGGTGGGAGTGTGATAATATGAGCGGGCAGTGTTGGCAGCGGCGGCTGGAATGGACTGCGTCTCGTAGAGCAGGCGCATGGCGCGGGGCACTGGCGGCATCGTAGTGGTACTACGAAGAGGTCGCCGCTGCAAACCGAGCAGCGCAAGCAGTTGCCGCTCGGCGGCAGCGCGCGTCTCTTCGTCGAGCCTCGAGGCCGCGCACAGCGCCACCAACGCGCACACCACTGCGCACGCGCACGCCCCACGCATAATTCTCCTCGACCCACCTGCAATGATAGAAAATTATATTTATTTGGACTGTTTAATTTTGACTATCTTAACTTTTAAATTACAATAAAAATTTATATCTTGTTATCAAAAATTTTTAGCTATTGCAAAATTCTACTATAAGAGTAAGAAAAAAATTAAGATTAGATTATAACTTAACGTATTAATTCATACAGATTCTTACGATGGTAATGCCAAATGGGGTAGTCAGAGGTATTAACAATTGTCCACATTATACTAACATTTGATATGCTCCCTGTACTAAGAATATTTGAATACACTATAACGTAAGGCGTTACCATATTGATTTTTATCTTAGTTTATTTTGTCATTGCCCTAGGATTAGATATTAAAAATTTACACATAAATCTTTTGGCGTCGGCCTGATTTGTTCATACAGCCTTTAATATTAGTTAATCAGGGTAATGTCGAAGCTTTAGAGAGCTCAGAAATATATTGCTCTGCCTAACTCTTTGTCATCTCTGTCCATTTTTTTGTCCACCTTTTCACGACTAAATGACTAAATGAATCTTAATTCAATTTCATGTGAACATAGCTTGTGGCTAAATTAAAATAGGCTAAAATACGTTTTATGTTAAAAAAGAAGTAGCAGCCTCAGTTTATATTATTTAATATTATAAAAACAAACGAGAATTTGTTTATTTGTCACGCTTTCATCCTTCAGTATACAATAATAATAATAATTTATAAAAGGATAAAAAAATAGTAATAATTGTTATTAAAAAATATATTAATAATTAAAACAATATATTTTTTAGATATATGAGCCATAGCCTACTTTTATCCCGGTTACACGAACGGATTCGGAGGCAGATTCTAGTATAATGGAATTTTATTATTAAATGGTTAATTCAATTTTAATCTCCCATATATATATACTGATATATAGGATATCAGTAGCTAGCAAAAATTCCGAGAGAATCGTTAATTATGTATAAAACATTAAGTAATGCGACAATACTGACATTGTCTGCGACCGGTAGTGTTTTTTTTATCTCGTATCGTATTTCTAATGAACACATCGGCTGCATTGCATTCGGTGTACTAAATACTAAGTTGCGACCGTTACGTTTTTGTAATTAGGAAGTTTTTATGCGGCGTACCGATACTGAGTGCTGTTAATGATTGTCGTACTTAAGTTCGTGTTGTAATTGTTTAATTATTAAAACTAATTATCAATAGATGTAATGTTTAAAATATAGAAATATACGGAAATATAGAAGCGTAGCTAATTAGAGATTTTAAGTAAGTGTTTATAATTAAATTATTCCATTGTATAATTATTTAACATTTTTATTTGATACTGTGTGAAACATATGGAAAATTATGAAAGCAAACTCTGATTTTGATTATGTATAGGCCGAAGTTTGTACGCTATATTTTGTTGCTACATCAAATACCTATAATAATGTTTTATTTTAGATACGTGTTAAAAGTCAAATGTTATCTAAATAAATATTTAATTTATACGAATATTGCAATTTTAAAGAGCGTCTGTATTTTTGTTACATTTTCTTTAAACGGCTGAAAAGATTTTAATAAACATGGTACTACGGAGACTGACGTAATTTATATATTATATTTAAAAAAAGGCGAAGAATACAACTAGATCTAAATACAATAGTTTTTAGAGTTAAAAAACAGCAGATTTACTTTAATAGTTTAAAATTTAAACTATTGTAAAGATGGTGACCGTCGGTCATCAGCGAACGAAAATGGGGGCGGAAAATGAATGAGGGCACTTCAAACTGCGGATAAACATATGTGGCAGGTGCATTAATCAATTGGCTCCTGGCTAATTGAGTAATGCACCTGATCAATCCATTTGAAATTATAGTGATGGAGATAATTATAATAGTTTTACGATTTAATACAAAGTATAGATATATGAGCATGTTGCGGTAAGATTATATTATATTAGAATTATCTGTTTTTGTTAAAGCTCTTGTTAATAGCTTTTTGTTTATGAGATATATTATTGTTCGATTAGTAGTAATATTTATGTTAAGAATAAGTTATATCTATAAATATATATCTAACGTTAAACTGCGTTGTATGATAAAGCACGCTACGTGTAGGTATATAACTTATACAAGACCTGTTGCAGAAATTAACGTTATTTTCAATACAATAAATAAATTCAATACATTAAAAATATTTCAACCACGCATCTATATTAAAATCAATTTTCAACATTCCGTTTCTAATCGGTACAAAATCCTATATTAGTAGATACAAGGATCCATTTATGATATATATAAACGTTATATATGTTAAATAGGAATTCTTTAATTATACAACAAACTGACAAACAGTTAAGTTACATAAACATGCAATGCAAATATAAATTTCTCGATCGAACACTTTCCAAAAGCGTTCAGTAAAAGACATCAACGGGATCCGATGCGAAGTAACGCGTTAATTACACAAAACCTCTCCGTTGATAGCAACCACTCTCTGTTTACAATAAAGCACTCTACATACTCCTCTTACTCTACACCTTATCTGACTTAGACTGGTAATAATTCCTATTTAGGAGTATCGAAACTTAAATAAAATGAAACACTTATCGTGCTAGGAGAATCGAGGAGACACGAGTTTAACAACTAGTCGTAGTAGCGATGGTAAGAACGTCGCCGAATTTATATGTTGTTGTTATGTTTTGATCGTTCTAGCGCGGTCGACCGGATCGCGGCGTACGTATTTCGAAAATAATGCGGTCAAACCGGCCGCGGGCGCACGACCACTCGCCTCTCTCACTCACCCGAAATTTTAACGCTTCCAACGTCGACGGGCACGCAAAATCCGCGATATTCTCGCGAGCGATCCGAGCGCACGGTCAGCGCTTCGGGAACAGATGGAACTGCACTTGTTCACGAACTAACTGATGGCACAAAACAACAGAGTGTGGTAACATGACGAGCGCGGGAGTGGTGTCGCGCGCGGCGTGCGAACTGAACAGGTACGCGCATAGCGTGATGGCGTACTATCGGCGCGCTGCTCGCTAGCGGAATGAGCGCGCTGTGCGTGCCAGACGCGGCGGCGTCGGCGCACACCCCGCCACCCCGCTGCCCCGCACCCCGGACCCCGCACCCCGCACCCCGCCGCCCGACGGCACGCACACACCCGCCACCCCGGCCCTCCAGGCCCCGCCCCTCGCCCCCACCACTCACACCACATTACACCCCACCACCGGCACCCCATCCCCAACTAGCACACTGTATTAGAAAACATTACCACCGTCTGTAATCTAATGGTCAATGTAATACACAATATGTGTAATGTTATCAAAGGTCATACAGTTTCGTAATTGTATCATTTACTGATGTTAGGGTGGGACTATTAGGAATAATTCTATCATAGTAAAGATATTACATAATTCTACAGAGGTCGAAATCAGTGAATATATAATTACAAGATACGTGAAAATAACTGGACATATTGATACGAAAAGCACCGTTTCTCTCAAATATACTACTACTCGTATGTCATATTTCATGAGGATTAGTTGAGCAGTAAATAAACAAACTCACTTTCACATAGTACCTATAACGTTCTGATTTATCGCTGACAGCTCTACGACTGCACCTGGAGCCTGATAAAATCCATGATCAATCACATACCTAATAACATTAATATCTAAATTACTTTATGTTTAAAGGACCTACACAGGGCCCTAAATTCAGAGGTATTAACAGAGCAGAGGAGGAGGAGAGCACCTAAGATCTCTTCATAGATCGCCTCGTGTGTATCCAAATTGTAACCACTATTATTATTATTCCTCCGGCCGCTGAAATGGCCGATTTTTCACAGCTTGTTTGCTAGCTTAATTTTACTTATCAAGCAACCAACTCAATCTTATCTAAACCACGATTTATCAGTTAAACTTTTTACTGCCTGCAGGATTCAGCAAATGGGTACAGCCATTGGCTCTACCTTCAGTCTCTACCTATTTACATATCAAAAGGGAAAAATTGTTAATCGGCGCTTCAATCACCGATGTTCAATCATTAACACACATACTCGTAGATTGTTTTGGTGACTGCTTGATCCAATCTCACGGTGTGAGTGGGGTAGTAAATCACTAGACGATGGCGTTTTATTGACCAAAAACTACAAAGGCTTTATATGTTTCACTGATAAGTAGAGATCGTGTGATATTGTTTAGCACATATATCCAATTCGTAACTGTGAATGTGTAAATCGAGAAAATTCATTCTGTCCATAAAATTGATTAGTCTATAGTTACCATTGGTAAACTGTAATATTGATGATGTACTAAGATATGGTGTTGATATCAACTGCTATCAAACTAAGATTTCAACTTCATGTCACGTCTCTTTGATGTTTTCATTTACCTTTTGACATATGGTTCCGCCTGCGCTGTTACGTTTTTTTATGAAATTAGAATAGCAACAAGCTGAAAGTACGAGTGTATACATGATACAGGATAATACTGAGATACACACAAGGTGCTTTTACTCATTGTCATATCCATAATGAGAACTCCATGCTGATAAGAAACACATCACTTTTACAATTGAGGGCGTAATAGTCTCAGGGTTTGAGTCTGATATTCATACTTTTCAAAAATCCAAAGGCTATAAGACTTACTACTGAGAGAGACCTAAATACAGAGACTAAAAATCTTAATTGCGGATCTTCCAATGAATATCGGATCACCTCTAGAACTAGAACTTGGTATTAACTTACTCTTGAATGGCATAACAAATACCTACGAGAGTAGGTATTTGTCGTCCTACATCCTACTCACAGAGTCGACTTTTTATAAAGTCCACCTTGGTGCTTACTTCTCTAACCTAAATACTTTTGGTACGAAGCTTTATACTTTTTTTGGGATCTTGACGTGCCAATAGATTAATAGTAAACAGAAGATAATATTTTAATAAAATAAAAAACGATAAGAATAATAAAAAATGAGGACATTTTATTTCATAAACACCGAAACACACATATCTACGTTTGTGCTACAGCTGCTACGATTTAAAAATTAATTACCTGGCATAAATATTTAAGGTTTATTTTATGTATATTTGAAATTACAGTCGTCTAGTATGTTGTGAAAACACCTTTAATTTTCAATTAATTTGGTAGTAGGTTACAACTTATAAAAATCTCTGAAATATATTTATATTTTTTTTACTTTGGGACATATTTTCTATTCATATAACTGCAACACTTTTTTTAATTGGATGTGAATCGTCAGAAACCATAATGACGTTGTTTTTTATGTAATGTACTAGTAGTAATTCTAGAATTCTCCATTAATTAAGTGTTAATGACATGATATTTTGACAATAGTCATTTTAAAATAATTAGATTTTAATTAAAAAACATGTTAAGTGATGTAAAAAACACAAGCTGAATATGTTAAAGGCACAGAATACAGATACTATATAGATTAATTATAGCTGCGGAAATAATCGATATTTTATTATTTGTAATTTCCAGAACCGGTTTATATTAGGTAGTGCACTTTATTAATGTTTTTTACATTCATCATTATAATTTCGGAGGCAAAGTTAATTAATAGATCATCAGTTATTACTATATCTGTACCTAAATTGTATTAAATGGTAAGTAGATATACTCGGCAGTGCAGCGGTTTAATCAATTCACCTCACCTGATAGCAGGTTCGATCGCATATTATAAATATTTGTAAGTCATGTTTACTTGTATTTATATAATTATTATTGTGTAGGAAGTTATTTACCTAATAGTATTATAAGTGTAAATAGGTAGGCAAAGAGTTTTAGTACCTAGTCTATCATCCATAACAGGAACTGTGTTTCGTATGGGACTTTAGAGCACTTTGTAATTTATTATTTATTTTAGGACTTCCATACCTATTATATATAGGTACGTAATTTCCAAATGCTTTTTAAGTTTTAGAATTTGGTATATATAATATTTTATATATTATAAAATGTATAATATTAAATACTATTACAAATTTAGATAACAGATCGTATCGTATAGCAAAATCTAGTAGTGTGAAACCTAGACCGCGCAAGAGCTAAGAAAAGATTACAGTATCAAACTGTGACAACATTAAAATTAAATCATATTGACATATATACTTGTTACTGAACTGTAGGTTCGTCGCTTCCCCTCTATTTTCCTCAATACAAAAATATATATGTAGATGATATTTTAAAACTTAGATGTTTAGAATCCGATAGTCTGAGATATGAACACTTCGACTCTCATGAGTTGTTTTAAGTCTTCAGGCTGCTGTAGAATCCTTGTAATATTGTTTTTATTTCCCCAAAACTATTACTTGCGCTTATTCTTACAACAGAGATAAGGAACCAATGCACATCTTGTCGCACATCGCAATACTTCTCTAACAATAACTTTATACATTGGATACTTTTTTTACGTTCGACATGTAAGTAGATGTACACGTAAGTAGCAGCATAACTTTGTTTTTACACCGTTTCATGTCTGTCCACGCACCTGCGTCCGAACTATAACAATATGGAGATATCTAAAATAAATATAAGTGAGATAAATGGATAGATACGCATCGCGAGTGTGCACGATGAGTGTATCGTTGAACAATGATTGAAAGTTTCGATCGGCAGGTGCCAACAGATGGTATTTTGATAAGAACCACGCACGTGCCAGATACAGATGGTGCGGTAAGTGTAAACTATGTCAGATTTCTTTATCAGCTGCTTATTTTTTTTTTAAATCTACCCTTAATGTATATTATTTTCCAATAATTAGCTATTTCATTATCTATTACCAAAAGTTACAATCCCTATTATGATTACGAATGCAAAAACTTTGTTTATTAGCACTTCATAACTGAACGGATTCTAATGAAATTGCGGGAAAGTACAAATAGAGTTACAGCTAATATATATGTAATAAACCTATTACATGTCTGTTATATTGAAAATGAATGTTCCACAGAGCTTCAAATATTGACATAATTGTCATAAACACATGCCGTAAATCTCCGAATAAAATCAAAGAAAACTTCCTCCTTTATATTATGAGTAAAACAAATAACTATATACATATTTATATACAACCATTATAAGAATACAAATATAACAAAACGTGTAAAAAACTAACTTTTCAACATATAATGAAAAGGTAACCATTTTAATAAAAATATAAAGGTAAAATATGTGAAAAGAGGCCGAACAGCACGAGAAGTCCATAAAAATAAATGATGATGTTTGATGATGAAGTTCCATTATCATTTTATATCTATACCTATTCATTTGTTTCTCGTGATACTCCATAACAAAGTATGCACAGTAATAAATATTCAACCAACACGACTTGTACAGTAAGCGGTACGAGAGTACATTTTAACTGGCATTTATAAAAACATTCCGCTCCTAATTATTTTAAGTATGCGATCAAGTGGAAATTACTGAGATTGCTACCGTACACCGGGCTACCGGAGCCGTTACGCGCAAATAACCAACTGCTGTTCTTGTTTTTTTTATTATTTTTTTGGCGCGTGTCTCTCGTGAGCCGTTATTTGCGAGGTATTCTGTTCGTAGCGAAAGTTAGAGGCTATGCGGTATTTTATACCTGTTTTTAGAAGACCTTGAATTAAGGTAACATTGATTAATTGATTTAACTTGAATTATTTTTAGGCCTTAATATATTTTTTTATAATAGCAATATTATTTATTGTTCTCATGGTATTTGTCTACGGCATATTCAGTTTGTGGACTTTATCATTAGTACAAAAATATAAAGGCCAATTAAACAATATTGAATAATAGATGTTATAAAAATCACAATAGCAGTTGAAGATTTGTATGACAGTGGTAACACTTGACTAGTAATATTAAGAATGGTACGGTAAAATCACGATAACAAACTATGTCAGTATCCAACGGAGCCATGCCGTCTGCCACCCACGACCGCCGGCGTCCTGCCACATTGACTCACCAATTCACGTCTCATATACGTAATTAGTCCATTAGCACGCACGCACCGCTCAAATGCTCAATTAGATCAACGACCGTCGGGAATGGCT